TCGAATCTCCTAAAACATCTCCCGGCAAAGCAACCTAACAGCGATGTGTAGGAGCATATCTGGAAGCATTCCCCTTAAGATTCAGATGAGAATCCAGTTGTAGAATTCGGATGTTCTCGCAGTCGTAGTCGCATTCGCGATGACAGTCGCAGTGGCAACGGCAGTCGCAGTCACAGCCTCAGCCTGCCTCAGCTTCAGCCTCAGCCTGCCTCAGCCTCAGCCTAAAGCAGCCTCAGCCTCAGCCTGCTTCAGCCTCAGCATCAGTCTGCCTTCAGCCTCGGCCTCAGCCTCAGCCTGCCTCAGCTTCACCCTGCATCAGCCTCAGCCTCAGCCTCAGCCTGCCTCAGCATCAGCCTGCCTCAGCCTCAGCCTCAGCCTGCCTCTGCCTCAGCCTCAGCCTGCTTCAGCCTCAGCCTCAGTCTGCCGTCGGCCTCAGCCTCAGCCTCAGCCTGCCTCAGCCTCAGCCTGCTCAGCCTCAGCCTCAGCCTCAGCCTCAGCCTGCCTCAGCATCAGCCTGCCTCAGCCTCAGCCTCAGCCTGCCTCAGCCTCAGCCTCAGCTGCTTCAGCCTCAGCCTCAGTCTGCCTTCAGCCTCGGCCTCAGCCTCAGCCTGCCTCAGCCTCAGCCTGCATCAGCCTCAGCCTCAGCCTCAGCCTGCCTCAGCATCAGCCTGCCTCAGCCTCAGCCTCAGCCTGCCTCAGCCTCAGCCTCAGCCTGCTTCAGCCTCAGCCTCAGTCTGCCTTCAGCCTCGGCCTCAGCCTCAGCCTGCCTCAGCCTCAGCCTGCATCAGCCTCAGCCTCAGCCTCAGCCTGCCTCAGCATCAGCCTGCCTCAGCCTCAGCCTCAGCCTGCCTCAGCCTCAGCTGCTTCAGCCTCAGCCTCAGCCTCAGCCTCGGCCTCAGCCTCAGCCTGCCTCAGCCTCAGCCTCAGCCTCAGCCTGCCTCAGCCTCAGCCTCAGCCTCAGCCTCAGCCTCAGCCTCAGCCTCAGCCTCAGCCTCAGCCTGCTTCAGCCTCAGCCTCAGTCTTCCTTCAGCCTCGGCCTCAGCCTCAGCCTCAGCCTCAGCCTCAGCCTCATCAGCCTCAGCCTCAGCCTCAGCCTCAGCCTCAGCCTGCATCAGCCTCAGCCTCAGCCTCAGCCTCAGCCTGCCTCAGCCTGCATCAGCCTCAGCCTCAGCCTCAGCCTGCCTCAGCATCAGCCTGCCTCAGCCTCAGCCTCAGCCTGCCTCAGCCTCAGCCTCAGCCTGCTTCAGCCTCAGCCTCAGCCTGCCTCAGCCTCAGCCTGCCTCAGCCTGCATCAGCCTCAGCCTCAGCCTCAGCATCAGCCTCAGCCTCAGCCTCAGTCAGCCTCAGCCTCAGCCTCAGCCTCAGCCTCAGCCTCAGCCTCAGCCTCAGCCTCAGCCTCAGCAGCCTCAGGCCTCAGCCTCGGCCTCAGCCTGCCTCAGCCTCAGCCTGCAGCCTCAGCCTCAGCCTCAGCCTGCCATCAGCCTGCCTCAGCCTCAGCCTCAGCCTGCCTCAGCCTCAGCCTCAGCCTGCTTCAGCCTCAGCCTCAGCCTCTGCCTCAGCCTCAGCCTCAGGCCTCAGCCTCAGCCTGCCTCAGCATCAGCCTGCCTCAGCCTCAGCCTCAGCCTGCCTCAGCCTCAGCCTCAGCCTGCTTCAGCCTCAGCCTCAGTCTGCCTTCAGCCTCGCCTCAGCCTCAGCCTCAGCCTCAGCCTCAGCCTGCCTCAGCATCAGCCTGCCTCAGCCTCAGCCTCAGCCTGCCTCAGCCTCAGCCTCAGCCTGCTTCAGCCTCAGTCTGCCTTCAGCCTCGGCCTCAGCCTCAGCCTGCCTGAGCCTCAGCCTGTTTCAGCCTCAGCATCAGCCTGCCTCAGCAGTAAACATGTGGCCCGGGAATAGAGTTCTGGGAACTCGAAGATCACGAAGTGGCCTACAGTTGGCTCTGGGCATTCAAAATCATGCCCAGGAATGGAGCTCTGGGAAATCGAAGACCACGAAGTGGCCTACAGTTGGCTCCGGGCATTCAAAATCATGCCCAGGAATGGAGTTCTGGGAACTCGAAGAACACGAAGTGGCCTACAGCTGGCTCCGGGTATTCAAAATCAGGCCCAGGAATGGAGTTCTGGGAACTCGAAGACTTCGAAGTGCGTTACTGTTGGCTAAAAATGGAGTCACCTGTTTTCCGCGGCACCCGCCCGGATCCCGCCCAGACCCCCCTGGGGAGTCATGATGCTCTCGTTTGACCCTACTAGAAACCTATCAGTCTTCGCTGTTAGGTAATATGGGAAGATATGGCAAGATATGGGGAATCCTTGTATTTGTGTATATTTATCTGTGTGTCCCAGGGCCCCTTCAGTCATGTCCCCCGCCATCGAGAGGGGGCATCTGCTATGGAGGAGGGCAACCTGCGCGATGGCCCCCCCCAAGGACCAGACACGTGCCTGGGCACGTGCACTTCTGCCAGACGCCCCATTTGGGGGGCCCCCAGTTTGGTTGATGGCCGCCGCCCGCCTTTTGCCCGAAGCGTTGGCCCCAACGTCCCACCACCCAGGGCGAAGAGGACAGAAGAGAAGGAAAGGAAAGAGAAAAGAAGGGAAGAGAGACGAAGAGGGGGGGGGGAGAAGTGTTGAGCCACACCGCTACACAGGTGCAAGAGAGGAGCCCTGGTGGGCTTTGGAGGCTGCCCAGGAGAGGGTTGGGTGATGCCGACCCACCTCCCGCCCGCGACCAGAGCGCGCCGATGGCACGGTGAGGGATGGTCGCCTTCGGCGGCGCGCCCGCGGGCGAAGTGAGAGGGGGGCAGGCCTTCTCCCAAACCAGCGGGGCTTCTCAGAAGCCCCATGCCCCTGTGACGAGTTGTTTTTGGGGGGGTTTTCGGGAGGCTTATCGAACTTCCTAGAGAAGGACCGAGGCCCTCGAGCCTTCTGAGAAGGCGCCCCCCTCTGACTGCCCCCCCGGGCCCGCCGCCGAGCTTCCCTCTCCGCCCCCGCCCCGCCCCGCTCCCAGGGCCCCGATCGGACGGGAGGAGGGGGCTTGCTTGGAGCAGCGCTGGGGGCTGCTGGGGGGCCGCGGGGTCTTCGCATGGATGCCAACCAGTGAGGACGGAAGCTGCCGGGCTACAGTTGCCCTGAGCGGCCCATAGGAGGGTACGACGATCTTCAGGGTCTGGCCAGTCGGGGCCCAGGGAGGCGGGCACTCATCATGGCCCATCGGCCGCATATATCGCCATGGAGTGCGCAGGCTACTCGAGAGTTGTTGCGGTCGTCCCGTTTCCTTTTGCCCCATCTGCTTCTCCCAATTTTTTCGCTAAAGCAACCAAACAACCTTCCGTGATATTTTCAGGAGGGGGAAGAAGCACACAAACACAATTCATCGTCGATTCCCCAGAAATGTGGGAACATATGTGAAATGGGGGGAAGACAGAAGCCCAGAACATATGAGAAACTATGGGGCATCTTTTGATTTGTGTGTATTCATGTGTGTGTGAGTCCTGGGGCCCCTTCAGTACTGCGCTGAAGCAAAAAAGCGCCTTCCGTGACAAGTGCTGTGCAACGTGGTGGTGCCGGTGTTCGGGCCACCCTTCGCGGGCCTCTGGCGGCCGATCCCGGGGCGATCCCGGCGGGCATCGCCGGATCGTGGGCGGAAAAGAGGGGGGTGATGATTTGGGCCATGATTTGGTCCCAGTTGGTCCAGCCTAGTCGGGCTGAGTTCTGGGCTCCTGCCAGGGTTTCTCCGGTATTGGCCAGAGAAGGTTCACAATCCGATCTTGAGCTCATTAACCCTGGATTGGTAATCTTCGGGAGCGGAAAAAAGAGGGGTGATGATTAGGAGGGGGTGGATATCATGGTTCGGGCCATGATATTTCCCCAGATCTCATGGCGCCTCTTCTTATTTCATTGCGTCCCTGGCCCCCCCGCTGGGCCGCGCACATGCCGCCGGTCATGATTTGCACCCCCCTCTCTTGGACACCCCCCTCTTTGCCGCCCCCGACCGGAGCGCCCTCAGCGAGGCGCGGCGGCGCGAAAGCATCGGAGGTGGACAGACCGCCTACCCTTTCGAGCAGGATCGATCTGTGAGGGTCGTCGTGAGACGTCGGGATCTCATGGCCGTGCGTCAAGGTTCACGGCGGAGCCCTCGACCCCATCTTCTGCGGCGCTTCTCGAGCAGGATCGATCTGTGAGGGTCACAGGGCCCGAAGCCAGCCGTCGTCGTGGTTCCCAGCTATGCGCCGATCTGATTCCTGGTCGACCCGCGGCCCCAGGAGTCCAGGACCCCTTCCCCAGGGGAGGCGTTTTGGTCGTCTTCGGAGCCGTCTCTGCAGCCCGCCCTCTGTCAGAGGTGGATCGACCTCCTACCCTGACACGTCGATGAAGGAATTGGCCGTTTTCGGTTCGCAAGCGGGCGTCGCGGCCGTCATTTTTGCGGGTCCAGGTTCCTCGGTTTCGGTCCTGGGCCGTTTTCACTAAAAGGAGGTTTACTACAGGGAGGTCTGTTCACCGCCGAGGCACCGTTCTCACCCCCCAGTTGAGGCCTCCTGGATGAGGTCCGAGTAGATGGGATCGGAGGATCGCGCCGTACCGTCGATGCATCGGCGATGCGTCTCAATGTGGAGCCCGATGTTCTCCACGCTGGCTTCGCCGATGCGCCGATGCATCGACGATGTCACCGATGCATCGCCGATGCATCGGCGACGTATCGACGATGCGGCGCGATCCTCCGACCCCATCGTCTCCGACCCAATCTAGGAGGCCTCTTGATGAAGTTGCGGGCAATAGTTATATCCACATCCAGTGCGTCTTGGATTCTTGGGCTCTCTTCCCCAGAAACCGTAGACGCACTGGATATGGATAAAAATCTGGACGCAAGAGGCTTGATTTTATCCATATCCAGTGCGCCTCGGCGTTGCGGCACTTCTTCCCGAAAAGTCCACGACGCTCTGGATATGGATATACATATTGCCCGCAGAAGTGGCGCCCAAGGATCCCTGGGTTCTTTCGAGACCCGACGAGGCTGGGCCTCCTCCGTGCCGGACGCTATCGGGCTCGGCCCGGTGACCGCGGGCGACCACGGGGAGGAGGCCGCCGACTGGGAGGAGGCGCTGCGCAGGCAGAACGCCGCCAACGACGCATGGGTCGGCGAGAACGGCCGCCGCGGGAGGGGGGCGCGCCGAGAGGCCAGGAGACGAGGAGCAGAGTCAGAGGAGGAAGAGGTGATGGGCCTCTTTTCCACCACCGCCATAAGTTGGAGGTGTACGTGGTCCTCCTCGTCCTCCTCCACCTCCTCCACCTCCTCCTCCCCCTCCTCCTCCTCCTCCTCCTCCTCCTCCTCCTCCTCCTCCTCCTAGCCGTACTGGCACAGGCGAGAACCCTGTGCTTGCAAGCACGTGTATTCAGTGCGGCTCGTGCTTGCGAGCCAAAGATTTCACGATCCCACAAGTTGTCTCGGCTTCCCCTCGCGGCGGCCGATGGCACCGCTGCTGCCCGACTTGCCCGATGTCTTGCGGGGCCCCATGAGGCGCACCTGGGCATGCGGGGCGTGCGGTGCGGCCACCGCAAACTGGGCGTGCCGTGTGCGGTGTGCGTGCGGACGCGAGGCCCCATTGCGCATCCGCAAGACCGCCATCGAGCATCACCAGAGGTGGGAGAAGGGCAAGACCAAAGCTTTCCTCGGCCCCCACGGGCTCCCTGCCATCAGACCTCGGCAAGCGGCTGGCGGAGATTGATAATTTCTTGCGAGGGGCAGGGCAGTCAGTTCACCCGGCTGGCTGCAAGGAGGGTGGGGCTTCCAAACCACCCCCCTGGAAGCCAGGTGTCGAGCCCCAGAAGGACACAAAACTCCACGGCACGGACACAGATGACATCAAGAAGGCCAAGCTCGCTACCCAGCTGGCGTGCTTCGAGGCCAGGTACAAGTCGGTCCCGCACGGTACGGACCATGACGAGGTGCGAGGGTGCATCCAGCGTAAGATTGATGACATACGTGACCAGCAAGAGTCCATGCGGACCCCAGCGGTGGTGCATCGCAGGGCCACGTCCGACCTGCAGAAAGTCACGGCGGCCGTTACCAAGCTGGAAGCGGACATCGGCGAGAAGCAGAAACAGCTCGACGAGTTGCAGGAGGCGCGTGCAGCTAAACGCGCATCCCTGGCGGCCAAGAAGGTGGAGATTACGGTCCTGCAGGCGCAGGTCAGCCAGGCAGCGCAACAGCTCAGCGGTGCGGCGCAGGCAGCGCAGCAAGATGAGGCCAACCCCTTCGATGTCAAGCCTGAGGAGTTCGAGGATGAAGAAGTACGTACCTTCCTCGGATCGGCCACATGGTCCAAGCTGCGCAGGCACCTGGCGGGCAAGATGCCAGCCCCCAAGGATGTGCCAATGAGAATAAGCGTTTCGCAAGCTTCTTGGAGAGATGGCCACCAACCGACGGAAGTGTTCCTGATAGCGTGCTGCCGCTGTTGTCGGGGTTACGGCTTCGAGCTGGCGGTATTCGCCAGCTTGCGCAGCCTGAAGTACAGGGTACCTTCTTCATTGAGACGTTCAATGCATCGGGTGGTCGCGAGACTCTGAAGTCCAGACTCATGAAGACCGGAGCCACGATTCTCCTGTGTCAGGAGACTGGGTGCACGGATGACAATCTGGAGGCGTCCTACTCTTGGGCGCACAGCCGTCAGTGGAAATGTTCCGCCATACCTGCACGTCGTACAGCAGGAATGGCCCCGTCAGGAGGCACTGCTGGTTTTTGTTCGAGATGCCCTAGGCCTACGCCACCCTGCGCGGGGACCACCTTGTATGGGAGCAGCGGTTGTAGCAGGTCATTGTGCACATCATCGGCTGGCCTCCGATCACGATATTCAATGTGCATATGAAAGACTCATTTGGAGCGGTTGGGATTAATTCTGATATACTAGCTACTGCAGGGCGTTTGTTGGCGCAGTGCTCTGGGCCTGCTCTTGCCGGATGGGGACTGGAGCCTGTCGCCTATAGACTTGGATCAGCACCTCTTCCCGCAGCAGGCTGACGTGGTGCTAGCTTACCTCAGCCAGGTTACGTTCCGAGCAGGAACAGGCGCCAGCACGATTGACTTTTTTGCCTCAGTGATGCCGTGGTCGGAGGACGTCGCGGCGTGCATTCTGCGATGTCCTTGCACAAGACGGCGCACCGCCCAGTCCAGCTGCAGTTAGTGAACATTGGTATGGAAGTCCAGCACTATGTCTACTCAGTCTCGCCCAGGCTGCCAGCTGTCCCACCTCCAGGGCCTTCGACAAAACCAGTGGACTTGTCGCTGCGTCGAGCTCTAGCTGAACGCACCGTCGGGATGGCAGCTGACCCGAGCACAGACGTCGCTGTAGTGTGGGCGCTGCTCACGCGCGTGCATGTCAAGTTCGTGGTGGCCTTCGCCGAATACATAGCGCAGAACACGGGTGTGGAGCTGCGCGGGCCAGGAGCCTATGCGCGGAACCTGGGGCCACGGTGGGTCAATGCTTCTGACCCGACCAACGACATCAGCGATGTTCAAAGCGTTTCTCACGGTTGGGAGTGGCTACAGAATGCCATCACTGCGGTACAAGCAGAGCACGGCAATAATGATTCCATGATGATGTGCCCCGACGAGATCGCCGCGTTTATAATCTCCTCCGATCCAGGGCAAGGACTGAATGCGCGTCAGAGCAGATTCAAGCCTTCGTGGACGACATAGCTGATGACGTTGACCTGGCTGCCAAGTGCGAGACCAAGGATTACAATGGGACGTGGGCCGAGTGGTGCCGCACGGCTTCATGCGGTGGTGCGCGCCCGCTGCGCCGCGCCACGAAGGTCAAGGTCATCCCGGCGCCAGCTGTCGCTATCGGCATTCAGTCGGGCGACCTTGTGGTCATCGTGGCTCCAGAGGTAGAGATGTACAAACGCCTATGGCATGCATCTGAGGCTGCGCAGCCTCCATGGGTACCCGATCGATCTATGCGTCCGCGCCTGGAGCCTGAGGATCTACGGCGGGCAGCGCAGTCCTTCCCAGCAGGGGCCACGAGCTACCATAATTTCCACCCCAGGCACCTGATGCTGCTGGACGATGACGGCCTCGACGCGCTGGCGCCGCTGCTGTCGGCTCCGGAGGCCACCGGGATGTTGCCCAAACAGCTGTGCTGGATCCAGATGCCGATGCTTGGTAAGCCGTCAGGTGACAACCGATTGGTTATATTGTATGCAGCTGTATATCGAACGTGGCAGAGAGCACGTAAGCCCATGGTTGACCACATGCACGCTGGACCTGGTCGGCGACACTAGGGTGCTAGCCGAGGGCGTGCCGCCACTGATTGCGCATGGCTGCAGGCGGCGCGATCCGAGAGCAACCAGGTCGCGCACAAGTGCGGAGTCCTGATAGTTGCCGATTGGAGTAAATATTACGAGTCAATTCCTTTGGATGAGCTGCGCACCAAGTTCCAGCGACATGGGGCCCCAGTTTGTTGGTTGAAGCTAGTTGTCAACATGTGGGCATGCCCGAGGATCATGCGATTTGGAATGCAACACGCTCAACAGGCAAATGGTTACACACTGCTTGCCTGCAGGCGACGGCTCCAGCGACCTAGCGGTCAAGGTCCATGCCGTTGATGCCTCGCAACTTGTGTTGAGCTGGCGCCGTTTGTGGATTCCCAGAACTACATCGGTGACATAGGGCTCAAGGTCTTGTCCATTGATTATGTGATTGCTAAGGCGGCGGTCGTCGCTGGCATGAACCAGTTCAAGGCTGCCAGTGACAAGTTGCCGGCTGAGCTGCATTCAGGCAAGTTGCCCATCCTGTCCACACCCGCGGAGCTTGCCAGATATGTCTGCACGGCACTGCACTTACCTCTGTCGGTGTGCAAAGCCAGCGCTGCATACCTCGGTCTTGACGAATTTGCAGGTGCCCGACGTTATGCACAGCGAGCACGACTGAAGCAGCGCAGCCGAGTAGCTCAAATGAACAAGAGAATTCGCAAGGTTCGGGGCCTCCGAAGGCGTTTCAAGGGACCCAAAGAGACCCCGTTCAATAAGTTTTCGAAACAGTGCATCGCTCCTGCTGTCGGCTTCGGGGTGGAGGTCTTGGGTCTCGCGGCCTCGGAGTGGCTGAGCGTAAAGAGTGATGGCCCGAAGTGGAGGGCCCGCTCACGGTGGCGTTTCGCTCACGGCTAGGGGTGTTTCGTTGAGTGATGGCAGCGCCCGCTTCGCTAATGCCCCAGCCGTGCAATGGTGTGGAATGATATGGACCGCTTCGCGGCGTCCTGATGCCCCCCTCGCCTCACATGCCGAGCTCTTGATGCTGTGGGAGCTGCCTGGGCCTCTCGAGTGCCCGTCTTGGAACAAGGCCCAGGGGCCGATCTTCAGAGCCGCCCTGAGTTTGAAGCGTGTTGGATGGCATGCTGAAGGCCCGCCCTCCTGGATAGATCACGAAGGTCTCAAAGTGGATTTATATGTAACGCCTCCTGCTCTCCTAGCAGCACAGGCGGAAGCTGGTCTGCAGAGAGGGAGGGCGTTCGATTTTGCTCGGAAGCTCGCCCCCCCCCCCCCCCCCCCCCCCCCCCCCCCAGGGGCCAGGGCCACCCTGGACCTGATTCGGGGCGCCGTGGGGCCGAAAGCCAGAAAGTTAAACAGGTGCCAGAAGTATGAAGTATGTAGTCAAGAGCTGTGGATGTGGTGGACTGTGGACCAACGAGCGAGCGTGGCGTTCGGGGTACTCGCGTGACGGGCTGTGTGAGTGCGGGGAGCAGGACACAGTCCACCACAGGCTCTATTCCTGCATGCCCCCCCGAGCTGTCGAGGCGCGCGCAGCAGCAGAAGTGCCAGCTTTCCTCAACGCTGCGCGCGAAGATCCTGACAACCCCATGTTTACGCGCGGTATGTATACGTATGGCGATAGCTCGCTGCCTTGTCCGTCCACGTCGTCCGAGGTGCATCTCTACGGCGGGCAAGTATCCGAGTTGGACATGGAACCTGCAGCGATTGCTGATTTAACCCCCAGTCCCCGCTGCGTTTAGCGTCCGACGGTTCGAGCACGAAGCCTTGGATTCGGCCGCTGCAGCGGGCTGCCTGGGCAGTAGCTGGTTGCCCAGATGAGAGCGAGGACCCAGTGGCGATAGTCAAAGGCATCGTCCCA